TTGAACCCCTACGGAGACCGTGGATGAGAGGGCTGCAGCGCTCCGAGATGAGCCAGTTCATCTCAAGTTGGGCCTGCTCTCGACACAAACTCTGCGGTGGGAATTCAGTGGCTCTCGATTCCCCCTTGACTTTTTTTCCCCCCTCATGCTGTGGAAGATGACGGAGAGGAGGGCCTGGCCCCGCAGGAGCATCCCTGATGTGTAAAGCAGGAGTGGCTCTCCTCTGGCTCAGAGGCTGGAAATACTACTACCCCCCTCCCTGCCCCCCTTCTTGAGTTTTTGAAGACAATGGAGCTGAGGCCCGAGCTGTTGAGGATGTCCCAACGCGTGGTGGCTGACAAAACTCTGCCGCCCAATACGCGATTCAGTTTCTCTTGATTTTTGCCCCTTGATTTTATAAGATTCAGTTTCTCTTTGTTTGTTTTTGGGGTTTTTTTGCTTAGGTTTTTTTTGCCCCTTGATTTTTCAAGAAATGAAGCTTCTCTTTTTTTTTTGACACTTGATTTTGAAGTGAGCCAAGCTGCGGCCTGTCCTGACAAGCCTCCCCTGTAAAGCAGGAGTAGCTGCCCCACCTTCCCCCGGCGGGGATTCAGTTCTCCCCTCTTCCCCGCCCCCCCCGATTTTGAAGACCGAGCTGAGGGCCTGGCCTCACCCGATCCTGCGGGGCGGGGTGGGGGGTGGACGCTGGAGCCGCCACAGCCCAGACTTCCGCCCTGCCCCTGGGCCGGAGACTGAGGGCCTGGCGCTGGCTTCCGCTGAGGGTCGTCATTTCCTGCGCGCCCGCGCAGCGTGACGCCGCTCCCGGCCGGAAGTGGGCGGGGCGACCCCGGGTTGAGGGGAGGTGGGTTGCAGGGGCTGTGTCGGCGGTGGGGCCGTCATCTGTTAGGGGGTGCGCCCCTGCCTGTGAGGCCAGGAGCCGGCTGGCGGGGCTGGGGCAGTTGTGGGGCCACGGCCCGTTAAGGAAACGACCCCCCACCCCCAAGACAGGCCGCTGAAGGCCTCGCAGCCGGTGTCTGGGGGGAGGTGTGCAGGGAGCGTGTGGCGCCGCTCCGGTTCCCGCATGCAGGCGTGACGGCAAGACATCTCCCCCCAGCCCCCGCTTGGCCAGAGCCGGGAGGGAGGTCCCGGGACGCGGGGGAGCGGAGCCCCTTCCCCACCGCTCGTGCCAGTGGGTGGTGGCGGCATCTCACCCGTGTCTTGGCGTGCAGGGCGGCAGCGGCACCATGGCAGAGTGCTCCAGCCTGCAGTTCGTTAGTCCCTATGCATTCGAAGCGATGCAGAAGGTGGACGTGGTGCGCCTAGCAGCGCTGAGCGACCCCGAGCTCCGGCTCTTGCTGCCTTGCTTGGTGCGCATGGCCTTGTGTGCTCCTGCTGACCAGAGCCAGAGCTGGGCACAGGACAAAAAGCTCATCCTGCGGCTCCTTTCTGGCGTGGAGGCCGTCAACTCCATCGTTGCCTTGCTGTCTGTGGATTTCCACGCGCTGGAGCAGGATGCGAACAAGGAGCAGCAGCTTCGGTAACTGAAAGGATACGCGCGGTCTGCGCGCAGGCTTCGTTCGACTGTTGCCCTCGTCTCGTCCTGACGTGGCTTTGCTTTACTACTACGCTTTGTTACTTGTTCCTTGGGCTCGGTAGGATGATGTTCGAGGAAGGAGGGTGGGATTTATTTACTTATTTATTTAGCTTCAAGCTTCACACCCGGCACCTGGCCAAGGGACAGTGATGTGCATTAACTGAAGACCTGTCCAATCCCCCTGGACCCGGGCAAAGAGAAGAATTTGAGGCTTCCAATAGGTTAAGAACTAGAGGCTTCCTCAAGCCCTTTCTTCTGAGGTGAAAAAAGAGAGCCAGGGTTGTACGAATACGCTTGCTTGACTGTGGTTTGTGTGCAGATTGCGAGACGCACCTGTGTTTTGACAGCAGGTTAACTTTGCCATTTAGGTGGGTTTGGTGTTTGAAACTTGCTAGTGTCATAAAGTCCCAGTGCTGCTCTCTGGCTAGTTGGACCCCTGGCAAAGAATACTTGTCAGATGAGCAAGTGTGAATGTATTGTCTGTTTTCACCAAAAGGCAACTGGTTTCTGTGGCTTTTTTGAACAGCTGTTTTCACATTTCAATGATCTATTAGGCTCAAACTCGGAGGAGGTAGTGGAGAAAGCATCTTGGTTTCGCAGCTTCAGCACGGTCTGACGTTGGAGTTTGAGCACAGTGATTCCCCGCGCCGGCTTCGGCTTGTGCTTAGCGAGCTGTTAGCGATTATGAACAAGGTGAATTTCTGTTTCATTCTTTACCATGTGTGTGAATTGATGTTGGTGGACATGGAAAAAAAATAAAGCATGGGTGCACATGGCTTCATGCCTGTGCTTCGTGCTTGGGTCAATGGAGATCCTTTTTGTTCTGTCACATGTTGTTTTATTTAAGACAGGGGCGTGGAGGTGTTTTTAGTTACTAACATCTGTAGCCGGGGCTTCCAAACTAACAAGAAAAGCTTAAAGTGGTAGCCCACGTTTTGGGAACAAATACACCTCGATTGGTTTCTCTAGTTTCTCTCATGACAATTCAGAGCTGTGTTCACCTGGCCTAGGTGCCTGCTTGAATATTTTTTTAGCAATTCTGAGGTTTTTGAGCAACTTTATTACAAACAGTCGTAATAAACTGGGCATATTGCAAGTGTGCTGGGTCTGTTTTCACATAGTCAATCATTTGAGTTCAAATCCACGGGAATTTGATGTGAAGTAACTGAGTTATACTGTTTACTCACTTTATTATGCTTGTGTTATGATGATAACCTTCTCTTCCAGGTGTCAGAGTCAAATGGTGAATTTTTCCTCAAGTCTTCGGAACTCTTCGAGAGCCCAGTCTACTTGGAGGAGGCAGCAGACGTTCTGTGTATTTTGCAAGCAGGTATGCAGTCCTTTACTTGCGAGCCTCTCCGTGCCATCCCTTTTAAATGGTCGGCATGTGACTAACGTAGTTTTAATTTCAGAGCTTGTTTTAGACTGAAAACAATGGCTTTTAAAATCCTGTTTCCATTCAGAGCTGCCTTCACTGTTGCCCATTGTTGATGTGGCAGAAGCCCTGCTTCATGTTAAAAATGGAGCCTGGTTCCTGTGCCTCCTTGTGGCCAATGTTCCCGATAGCTTTAATGAAGGTAAGTTGTCGTTTCTTGTTTGGCATATTTCCTTCTGGGAATTTATAACCCCTTCAGCAAAAATTAATTGCAGTCCAAAATGTAGCATAAAACAGTGCTAGCCTTGGGGCACGTGCCTGCACATGATTCAGCCCTAAGGGGCTTTCTGCTCCTGCCACTCGCCTCCCTTCACAGCACCTTCTCCTACGGCTGGCTCCCTGTGCTGTCATCTCAATATGAGTCTTACCCAGGTCAGTAGTGACAAAGGATGGTAATGCTGTGGAGTTGTGGGCTGTCTCTGCACAAGCATCCCCATTGCCAAGCTGTTATTACTTTGTGCCTACTGCAGAGGTTAGGGAATGAATGGTCCTGGAGACAGAGCTGCTCTTGCAGTCATAGTTGTTGCTTCAGGTCAGGCTGCAGGGTGGGAGTAGAGGAAGAGCTTGCAGTGCTGTTATCCAAGCTGTATCTCAACTTGGGCCAAGGACTTCCCTGTCCAGGGCTGTCCCATGCATCACCTGACTTAATGAGGGGCATGAGTAGCTGAAGTCAGTTTGGATCAGGCTTTAATCTGTATCGTCACTGTAAGTTCTGTGGGGCAGGCACTGTCTCTGTTTGGTTTGTATAGTGTCCTAGCGCAAAATGGCCCGGGTCCAGCAGCAGGGCTCTTCAGCCTGGTGGTAACACAGGTAGCAAAAACGATGTTGAACCGAATGGCCCATTCCAGTGGGCTGTGTGTATGTGGGAAGAGCTGCCTTCCTAGTGCAATAGACAGAATACTTAGTCCCAGCCTTGTGCCCTGAATGCTTAGTTTGCAGAGGCCTGATCAAGAACGGCGAGCGACAAGACGAAGAGAGCATCGGAGGCCGGCGCAGGACTGAGGCGCTTCGTCACCTGTGCAAGATGAACCCCTCCCAGGCGCTGAGGGTCCGAGGAATGGTGGTAAGCCTCAGATCAGGTTGTTATGGGGTAGCACGCGAGACCTGATTATGCTCTAGCATTTAGTTGAGGACGTCCGGTGAGTGGAGGCTCGCTCTTCGGCTCCCTTCCAGGTGGAAGAGTGCCATCTTCCAGGCCTGGGAGTGGCCTTGACCCTGGATCACACAAAGAATGAATCCTCGGAGGATGGCGTGAGCGACTTGGTGTGCTTTGTGAGCGGTTTGCTGCTTGGAACGAATGCAAAAGTGCGGACGTGGTTTGGGACTTTCATCCGGAATGGACAACAGGTTAGAACAATCTGAGTGTTCCCTGGGAACAGGCCAAAAGGAAGCTCCAGCTTGCGAGTGTGAGCAGATCTCAGGATCCTGCTGTACCACTGGCTGCAAAGCGAGGGTTATGGCAGCTGAGGCCAGTCCCGTGCAGCTTCACAGGTCAGGCCGTTGTGGAATGGAGGTTGCCAGTGGGTGCCACCTAGTGGCTCCTTCTAGGGCTGTCCTGTCTTGGTGACTTTAAAGATGCCGTCTCGTAGCCATGGGAACGGGTGAACCATAGATGTTTACTGAGTATATTGTCAGCCTCACTACAGTTTATTTCACACCCAGTACTGCAAAGTTGGGCACTGATTCAGTGGCTTGCTGGGATTAGGTAGTATCTGTATTTTGCTGAAACAGGGCATTGTAATGTAATCGTGCTCTGGCTGCTCCCTACCCGGTGAAACAATGGTGTATAAATTTCCTTTGAGAACTTGGCTGTGCGAGTTTACCATAGAGTTGTCTTAATTACTGCAGCTGCCATGCCCTGTACTAAAATGGGAAACATGATGAATTTTCTTAGAACTGCTGGGTCTTGTACCTTTTGATTTCTCGTGCAGAGAAAAAGGGAAAACATCAGCTCTGTCCTCTGGCAAATGAGAAGGCAGCTGCTCCTGGAGCTGATGGGGATTCTTCCCACGGTTCGCAGCACACACACTGTGGAGGAAGCAGATGTGGACACGGACCCACACGTGTCTGTGTATTCTGGACTGAAAGAGGAGCACGTCGTGAAAGCCAGCGCGCTGTTACGCCTCTACTGTGCACTCATGGGGATCGCCGGGCTGAAGTACTTGATGGCTTTTATGTTTCTGGTGTTTGTCGTTGCTGTCTCCATTCAGTTACTGGAAGTCTTGGGCAGCTTCAGCTTGAGCTTCCTCCCGTTCCCCTAATGTCCAAACCTGACTGGACTTACCCTCTCTTAAAACGGAGAGTTCATGTTTCATGCTTACTCAGCGCTGCTTGTGTAGCAGAATGGCCAGCTGGTTGAATAGTTCCTTATATTTCTGATTTAGAGTAGATAGCTGTACCTTTAAATTCTGTAGGACCAAATAAGTACTTACTTGCTCTGCTATATTCTTAGCATGAAAGCTTAGCAAAAAAGCTTGCCTTGGGGAAGAATATCACTGTTAGAATGGAGATTCAGATGAGAGATTTGTGCCGCTGAATTCCCTGCCATAGAATCACTTCTACAATCCTAGCATTTGCACTGGTGTGTAGGGCAGAAAGCAGCTGAAAATCTTGGTCATACCTGTCACAGCTCAGAATCCACTAGGTTTATTTTGACTTCAGCCTTCATAGTCTGCATAAAAATAAAGTAAGTTTGACATGGTAGTTATCTGGATATTTGCCTCTTCTAGAGCTGAGATTTATATCAAGAAATGTTTAAAGCTGTGACCTCTGAATTCTTAAGTTCAAAGAGAATTGCCAAGTAATCTCCATAACTATATATTGAGAGGGTCACATGATGAAGCAATGACTGCTTTTTCTTGTAATTCCAATTTTAAGAAGCTTTTAACCATTGTAACCAGATGGGAAATATTTTTCTGCCTGAACTCCTTTTGTTTTTCTCTTATTTCTTCTTCTGTTCAGACCAACTGACGAGGAAGCGGAGCAGTTACTTCAGCTCATGACGAGTCGTCCTCCTGCGACTCCTGCTGGTGTTCGCTTTGTCTCTCTCTCCTTCTGCATGCTCCTGGCCTTCTCCACCCTTGTCAGGTACCTGTCATTGTGGAGATACAGCCTGCTCCTGGTATTACTATTTGAGCAGTGCCTGGGCAACAACACGTGGGCTGCCCGCCAGTTTTTCTGCCTCTTTTTTTTTTTAAGTCTTTATGACAATGGTCAGTCTCCTGATGAAGATGAGTGGTCTCACCAGTGGACTATGTCCATATCACGTAATGCCACCCTCTTGCCTAGTGCAAAGTGCCTTTGGGAGGGGGAAAGAGGCATTGGTCTAGAGTGCTAGAGAGAAGCCTGTGCACTAGGCCTTGTAGTTTTGTTTTCCATTGAACAAGTTTTGTGGTGAAAACCATTTGAAAGCACTGGCAGGCTTCATTATTAATAGAAATGGCCTTATGAAGGTGGAACAGAACACCCTTTACTTTAGGGGTCCTTGAGTAATGTTGAGACATTTAGACTGTTTACTCAGGGCAAACTACTACAAGTTTTGATGTTTGTGCTGTCACCAGTGTTCAGAGGCTGGCTTAACACTTAATAGTAAGTGAAGGAAAGGCTCCCTCGGTAGAAGAGCATGTTTTTCCTCCTTGTCATCTTGGAGGTTGATTCTTGGGGTCTCCTAATTGTTACTGTAATAGTTAACACGTGGGAACATAGAAACATGTCTGTCATGGAATGTTTTTGTTTAGCACCCCAGAGCAGGAGCAGCTGATGGTCATGTGGCTAAGCTGGATGATAAAAGAAGAGGCCTACTTTGAAAGGTGAGAGCTTCAGTTTTTCTGAAGGGACTCCAATAACCCATTGTTTTCTATGTCTCAGTTGAAACTCACTCTTCCTTCTTTGTTCCAACAGCATTTCTGGAGTGTCTGCTTCTTTTGGAGAGATGCTTCTGTTGGTTGCCATGTATTTCCATAGCAATCAGCTTAGTGCTATCATTGATCTGGTTTGCTCTACTTTGGGAATGAAGGTAACTCCTGACCTCCCCCAAATGAATGTTTCCTTTTAAAACTCACTTATTGAAGGTGCATATAGGTTCTAGCTTGTTTTACCTAATAACATCTATAAATCTGTATTTCTGCTGTGTATTTGAACACCTGTGTGTTTAGATGAAAAATCTGGGAATAAACATTTTTTCTAGCACAAAAGCAAAATGTACGCAGAACAGTAGGTTTCAGAGGTGAAAACCTGCCAGAGCACAGAGGGATCTTTGTATCAGATGGGATATAAAGCATAAAGATACACATCTTTAGAAATATGCCCAAATGAATGTGCGTTCTTCTTATAAGCTCATGTTTGTGCATGTAGCAATGCAAGGTCCTTTCTAAATTGGGCTGCGAAGATTTCCTTAAAAAAACTGATGGAGAAATGACGCTTTGGCATGTACTACTTAACTAACATAGACTGATTTCTAGTTTTTGTTTATCAGCATAGTCTTTGATTTTTGATTTTTTTTTTTTCCTTCTCTTTGGCAGCTGCTGGTTTTGTTAAATCGGGGGGGAAAACAGTGCAGTCAGTTCTTAGGTTGGTGAGGAAATACAGGAAATCTTGAACTCATAACATTAGAATGTAAAACAAACTCATCTTCAAATGTTTAATCTTAATATGTGAATATTTTCTTAGCACTATGAAGGCAATGGCAAATGCCACTTGCTGCCAGCTGAAAACCAGATTAAATAAAAGATGAAACGGACTTTAATGTGTTTCATCTTTTGCAAAAGGAAAGACAGACCCTCAAAAGGCTGATAGCAAATACTGCATTGTTTGTTTCAGATTGTTATTAAGCCCAGTTCACTGAGCAGAATGAAAACCATCTTTACCCAGGAGATTTTCACTGAACAGGTATTCTTTGGTTTGCTTTAATTCCTATCTGTAGTACAAGAGTTCAGTCACTTTAAAAAATTTCAGAACAGTTCTTTGCTGCTTTTCTCATCTTAATCTTGTCATGGTATTTCCTTTCTTAGTTTCTGATGAAGTTCATAAATGTAAATAAACAAATTCTGTGGTATGCCATTCTACCTTGGGAAAATTCACACAGAAAAG